AAATGTGTGTGTGTGTGTGTGTGTGTGTGTGTGTGTGTGTGTGTGTGTGTGTGTAGGGGGCGCTCTGTGTTTTTAGAAAGCTCCAGGTAATTCTCGAACATAGGGCTCCAGCTGGCCCTGGGCCCCTCCCCACTACCAACCTGAGACACAGGTTCAGGGGTGAAGAGGTCCCTGAGGCCAGCAACCTGGCTGGCTTATTTCCCAGAACAAGGCCAAGGAGTGCAGAGATCGCTGCTCTGTTGCCTGCTGGGACTCCGTGACACAGACGAGAAGCTGTGAGAATCAAGTGAGAAGATGGGGAGGAACACATGGCAAAGCAGCAGCTCAGCTGGATGTTGATGATGTTGCTTTCCGCAGAAGCCATTTAAAATATATATTTTTGTGTGTGGTTTTCTCCCAGCTTTATTGATGTATCATTGACAAATAATTTGTCAATTGTCAATAATTCACAAATATTTAAGGTGTACAATGTAACATTCAATATAGACTGTGAAATGATTGCCACCATCAGGCTAATTAACATACCCATTACCTCACACAGTTACCACTTTTACTGGCAGTGAGGACATTTAAGGTCTACTCTCAGCAAACTTGAAGTACTCGGAACAGTACTGTGAGCTCTCGGCACTGCGCTGTGTGGTTGATCCCCAGTACTCGCTCATCCTGCATAACTGGAACTTTGGCCTCCCTGACCAACAAACATTTCCCCATTTCCCCCACCCCCAGCCCTTGGCAACCATCGTTCTAGTCTCCGCTTCTCTGAGTTCCACTTTCTGAGATTCCATATCTAAGTGAGTCATGCAGTTATGTGTCTTTCTGTGTCTTATTTCAATAAGTATAATGTCTTCCAGGTCCATTCCCGTTGTTGCAAATGACAGGATTTCCTTCTCTTTTAGGACTGAATAACATTCCATTGTGTATGTATCACATATTCTTTATCCATTCATCCATGGACATTAACTTAGGCTGTTTCCATAGCTTGGCTACTGTAAGTAATGCTGCAGTGAACATGGGAATGTAGATCTCTCTTCAGGAGCCTGGTTTAATTACCTTTGGATGTATGTATATTCAGATGTGGGATTGCTAGATCATACTGAGGAGCTGTTTTAGACATTTTCTTCTAGTTGTCCACCCCCATCAGGTTGTAATGCCACACACTCTGTATATCTGATTATATACCTATGTGTACAGCATCTGCTTTATGCACATAGAAAGCTGACTCTTTGTATGCGATTCAAGGCTAAGGATGACTAAATTAAAATTTTAAGTTAAAAATGAAAAGCTACCAACATCTAACTTAACATTGTAACTATACTTTCTGAGTAACTTTTAATGTAATTTATTTACTTACCTAAATTGCAATTGTCAAATTACATATGCAAAGAAGCAATTTTACATAAATACGTAATGATAATAGTAATGCAACCAAATCTATCATTCAAAGCTGTCATTTTCCTAGCGAAACAATTGATAAAGTTAATTCCTTTTTTTAAATTTTTTTCTTTATTTTATTTTATTTTTCATCACCATTTATCTCTCCATACCCTCTTCCACCTTCAGATAAAGCTAATTTCTTAAAAATTATTTTCAGTAAACTTAACTTTTAACTTTTGCTTGATATGGCAAAAGAACTAGTTTCTAGGGGGTGTGGGGTGGGGTGGTCCAGGGTACCTCTGTGAGCAAGTGGCTCTCCTGGGGGGTGAGGAGTGAGACCTGTGCAGGGAAGGGCATCCTAGGCCGAGACCAGTGTGCCAGGAGTGGGGGTGGCAGGCAACCAAGTCAGAAGGAAGAGATGGATGAGCCTCTGTATGACTCTGACTTTCATAGTGTATGGGTTGCCACTGGCCCCACCCTCAGAGCTGATCTTTCCATGATATAAACAGTATTTGCCTAACTCAGTGACAAAATCTCCAACATAACATCTGTCCCTCCAGTCATCTCACACTCCATGCTTATCAGACTCCCTTTTTTATACCCTAATCTCCTTCCCACAGGGTTTGAAGTGAAAACAATATAGAGCACAGCTGAAGTAAGGCTTTTAAGTGAGTTAAAAGTCAAAATATAGGTAAGGAGGATAATCACTTAAGAAAATGGGATGAATGTAAGTTATTACATAAAATTGACTTTGAGCTTCCAAGAATCCAAGGTAAAAAGGGAAATGTGATACGCCCAGCAGCTTTCAAAAGCTAATAAATGGTAACATAAAACAGCCAGTAGACTCTGACCCCCTGGACTCTGGGGTCAGAGTGCCTAGGTTCAGAGCTTATATTGATTAGCCATCGATACAGCTCTGCCCCGCTTCACACTCCATGCCTGGCCCCTCCGTGCCCACAGGCTACTCCCTCACCGAGGCCATGACCATCCTGAGGAATAAGCTCAGAGATTATGAGGAGCAGTTCAACAGCACCCGTCTGCTGGCGCTCTGCGACTACTTCTACAACACCTTCATCCGCCACTACAGACTCTACCAGTATGTCCTGGGCCAGGACCAGGAAGTCAGCCTGACCGTCACCCACCTGGAGGTGTGTGTGCCACCCCAGCCCCTCCCTCTGGCTAAGGGCAAGGACAGGGACCTGTGGAAGCACGAAGAGCAGGTGGCCGAGCTCAGCATGGCTGAGGTGCAGAAGCGCACCAATCTGCTGCTGCTGAAGGAGGCGCTGCACCTGGAGCAGGAGTACATGCTGCAGAAGAAGTTCTCAGAAGTGCCTGGGCAGCAGAGCCGCGTCCTGAAGACACAGGTAAGGCTGTGCCGCAGGTGGATGCTGCTCACAGGCCCTGAGCAAACACCTGTTCCTACCAAGAGAACGCCCAGACTGGAGTCAGACCCACAGGCAAGGCCCCAATTGTCTGCACACACAGGGGAGAGGGCAGAAAGGGACAGCAAGTCACTGACTATCTGCCATAGGCTTTGCATACACGGTTCATGAAACATCCCTATAAGGTATAATTCATGTTCCCATTTTAGTGATGAGAAAACTGAGGCTCAGAGAATTCCATCAACTTGCCCAAGGTCACCAAGCTACTATGTGGCAGAGTTTAGATTTGAGCTGAAGTCTGGCTGACTCTAAAGTTCAAGTTCTTTCCATTGCACCATTGATCAGTTACAGGTTCCACCCAGAAAGACCCCCAGGCTCTGAACCACTGCAGATTCTCATGACCCTTTGCCTGCCTGCAGCGAGGCCTGGGTGGAGATGACGAAGGAAGGGCCATGGTGGGTGATGTGATGAGGTGGACAAAAGGATGGGACTAGTTCCTTCAGGGAGGACCTAGAAGGGTCCGGTGTGTGGATCTAAGAAACTGGGTTGCCCTCTTGCTAGATCTTAAGTACCTCTGGAGCTCCAGTAGCCAGAGTCTCCAGTGACCAGCTCATCAATAAATGGTCAGTGTAGCTCAGTGGTTAGAACATCAGCCTGCACACGGAAGGGTTGCCAGTTCAATTCCAGTCAAGGGCACATAACCTGGCTTGCAGGTTCAATCCCTGGCCCTGGTTGGGGAGCATGTGGGAGGCAACCAATCAATGTGTCTTTTTCATATCAATGTTTCTCTCTCTCTCTCTCTTTCCTCCTCCCCCCCTTCCATTCTCTCTAAAAACCAATGGAAAAATACCCTCAGGTGAGGATTAACAAAAAAAAACACAAAAAAACATAAACAGGGAGCGGGGGTTGGTTTCTGAATTGTCAGCCAAAGAGTGAATGGCCCTGGAAAGTACATATAAAACATTGGGGGAAATCTCTAAAGAACAATTAGCACAATGGAATGAATGATACTCTTCTAAGGCTAAGTCTCCCAGGTAAATAGCACATCAGGCTGCTACATAATCTTAGTGCATTAAGAAGTCCACTTGGGACCAACAGAACACAGGCAGCAACCTGTCTCCACCCTCTTCCAGGGACCTTGCTCTAGAATATATGGGCAAGGGCCACAGGTAGAAGGGGATCCCTCTTGTCCAGTTCCTGCCCACCCCGCCCATACACACAGCTGTTTCTCCCCACTCCTTCCAGCTTCCCTGTGGGCCTGCATCACTTTGTTGCTGGTCCCCTCCTGGTGGATTGTGGCTAGGGTCCCCTTCCTGGTGGATTGTGGCTAGGGTCCCCTTCACTGTGTGCCTGAGCTGGGGACACTCAACACAGTAGAATAAACATGGTTCATTCTCTTGGAACACAATCTTTCCCAAGGATTTAGGGAAAAAACATTATTTTTGTATAAAAACAACCAAGGGGACATTCTCAGGCAAATGTGAGATTTTCCATGAAGTTTTAAGTTAAAATATGATATCTCAAAGAAGTATCTTCTAGGCAACTGGATACTCCAAGTATGTCCCCCGACACCCCAGGGGCAGGCATGAACTCTCCTCTGCTGTTTGGTTGCTCAAGCAGGGAACTGGGAGAAATAGTTACACAGTCAATGTCTCCAGGATTTCATGATGCCATGGCCCTGATTTAGATGACAGAGAAAGCCTCCTGTTTAACATGGCAGATGGTGGGTGACTGCTTGGGGGACATGCCCATTCTCTAAGAAATTTCCCATCCTTTCCAAAGAAGCTACTAGAACTTTGAGATGTGAGAATGAGATGAAGGCAAGAGGAAAAGGAAAGGAGATGATATCCAGATGGAGCTTGCGTTGACCAGAAAGCAGGGGATATGGCACTGGCTTATGGTTCCAGAACAATATTAATAATAAATGACACACTCAAACGGTCATCATCACCATAGGCCAAAATGGAGAAGAAAAGGAGCAATTATTGGAACCATGGGGCAGGAGGTGTAGCTGTAGGTAGAGGATCATAGTCATGGCCCATCCAGAGCTGGTTGGGAGGAAGGTGAGAGACTTCATTCTCCTCCCACACTCAGATCTCCTGCCAGGACTTCTCATTGGCAGAACTCAGCCAGAAGCTGAGGGCCAAGGTAGCTGGTTGATGCTGCCCTCATAAGTCAGCCTCCTAAAGCACAGAGAGGAGATCTGAATAGGGAAATGGAAGGTCCTAGCACCCAGTACAAGGAGAGAATTTGATCCTGCTGAGAAACCTTATCTGCAGATGGCCTTGACCTTCTCCTGAACCCTGTTCATCAGCCATGTTCCGTTTCTTCCAGGAGTTAGAAAATCTCATCAACGAGGCCATTCAGATCCAGATCGAGTGCCTGAAAGAGCTGCTACAGTATGAGACACAGATAACTTTTGACATTTTGGACCTGAAACTTCAGAAGAAGACTTTAAATCTCAATACTCCTGTCCCTTTCCCACTCTCAATCACTGGCCAGGCAGGCCATGATGAATCTCTTAAGTTCAACAAAGCACGCAAAGAAAAGAAACTCAAAAAGATGTCTAAAGCCTGATGGAGGAAGAGCTATTGACAATTCTGGAATTATTATGTGATGTGCTCAGCACCCAATAGATCAGAGATTTCTGGTGATTAAAAGAAATGAAATAGCACTCATCATCTTATCTCTATCTTCTTTCTGGAAACCATCTTCTTTCTGGAAACCATCTTCTACCACATGAAAATCTAACCCAAATAAGAAGGCTATTCTCTGTTAAGCACAGAGCTTTGTGCCTGCTGGGCAGGCAAACATCCCCTGTTGACTAAGGTTGACTAAGCCTGAGCTTAGACAGTGGGACTGAACTACCACCAGTCGACTGAAGCAGGTAAGAGTAGGGGTGACACCAGACACCAAGAAGGTCTTCCAGGGGACACACTGGTTTTGTTGCTCTTATGGGGAGAACAAGTCCTGGGATTCTATTGCCTTTCTGAGACTGGTCTAACAGAATCGACCGCATGCAGCCTGCTCTACAGGTTTTTGTCTCCTTGCTGGAGGACCTAGAGCCTCATGCCTATGGAGATCTCAATCTTCTGAAAGAATCTACACTGTTTAGACTGAGTCAGGGGAGCAAGCACTGTCTTAGAGGTCAGAGATCTGGCTTCAAACCCAACTCTGCTGCTAGTCTGCTGTGTGACTTTGCCAGTGTCCCTTCTGTCTTGGGGCCCCAGCTCTCTCTTCTGTCAAGTGGGGTGGGGTGGGGTGGGGATTCCTGGCTGGTGTTTAAGATCTATCTTCCACATCCGAGGAGGTAGATGAAGCAAGGTTTGTATTCCCATTTGTCAAAGGGTTCAAGATTCAAAGGGGTGGAGTATTTACTCAAAGTGATTTAGCGAGTCAATGAAAGAACCAGGACTAGAACTCAGGCATCCAGACTCTTATTTCTGGGCTCTTTGCCCTGCAGCATTGTGCCTCATGCAGTCACACAAATCTTGTTGTTGTTGGCTATCGCAGACATGTAATTTACAGGAGAATGGGGCCATGAGATCAGGGCAGAAACGATGCTACCTCTCACTGCCTCTTCCCTGGCCCGCAACCTGCTATCACCTCTGCGGTCTGCCCCACGTTCCTTGCTCACGATGGGACAGGCCACAGTGCAGCTCTCCCTGTAGTTATCATGTCCTTCTCTCCAAGGCCACAGCTGTTTTCTAGGTCTTGCCACCAAAGATGTACTTGGCTCTCTGTGCTTCCAGGCAAAGTCAGCTTGCTTTTGGAGGCCAGGCTGGACTTAGGTAAAGAGAGGGAGCCTGGGGGAGGGCATGCCACCAGCCCTGGAGTCCTCTGAGAGAATTCCAGGAGACAGGAGACTCTGGCTGGTTAGGGGCCTCACCGGGAGCACTGCCCCAGACTCTCTCTCCCCATCTTACCTTGATGCCATAGTGAAGGCAACTTATATCTGGGCCATTTGATAGGTTCCCAATACCTCTTTGGACAGAAGAAGGAGGTGCCAGGTTTTTCTTAAACTTTTCATCTCTTTATTCATTCATTTATGTATTTATTCCCCACTCCACAAACATTTTTTTAACATCCATATCTACTGTGTGGCTGAAACTGCTATATCCCAGAGGGAAATGTGAAGGCTGGCATCCTATCTTGTCCAGACCTGACTGGGATCCCAAAACATCTATGCAGCCTGTGTGTGTGTGGTGCATGTGTTTGTGAGACACATATGCAAGCATGTATGTGAGTGAACGCATTTGGGGAAGATGGAAGGGGCAAGTGGGTATTGTTCCAGACCAGGCCATACACAGGGGGCCCCCTATGCTGGAGCAGGAGAGAATCAGGCACCCTGGCGAGCCTAGGAAAAAGCTGGGCTGAGCGCACTGCTATAGTGTCCAGAAGGCATTGGAAGTATCAGTTGATGCTGGGCTGGGACAATTCAGTACAAAGGGATTAATAGCTCCCTCTTGCCTTGCCTTACTTCCAAGCTGAGAGGTTCAACAATCCCATCCACACCTATACCCAGCATCCCAGCCTTGCCCTGCCAGTGCCCAGAGAGATTCTCAGGACCCCCAAGGCTTTGAACCTTTTCATTTTCAGGCCATTTGTACCCTGAACTGTGGACAGTGGACTACTGACACTGTTTTCCCCGGCTGGACCTGACCCTCCCCAGGACTGCTGCCATGGGGGCCTCCAGTCACCACCCCATGGGTAGACCCCCAGCCTGGCCACGGCCACCATCCTAGCACCAGCCAAGCGGCCAACAAGGGGGTGGGTGCTGCAGAGGCTTCGAGAGGGAGAAGGTGGTCCCTGCAGCTGTGTGTCCACACAGTCAGCCTGCAGGGCTCCACTTCACCCCCAGGAGTGGCTCCACCCTTAACCTGGAAGGGTTGGGATTGGAGCCAGGGTTTCAGCCATACAGTAGGTTCAGATGTTAAATAATGTTTGGGAAGTGAAGGAGTGAAGGAAGAATGAATGAATGAATGAATGAATGAATGAATGAATGAATGAATGAATGAAAATTTTAAGAAAATCATGGAACCTTCCTCTGTCCATCCACAAAGGTATTGGGAAGCCTATCAAACCTCTCAGGTATAAGACACTCCTTCTTGTGACATCACATCTGTCAAGGACAAAAGCAGAGTTGATGGAAGTAAGAACCTGTCCTGCCCTGCCCTTCCCTATGGAACCTTCCACTGGACTAGAAGGTTCTGTCCTAAAAAGATCTCCCCATTTAGCAAGAGAGACCAACATTTCCATGCCCAGCTGACTTCCATAGTCATTTGGTGTCATTTGCCCAAGGACAAGCAGAGGAACCTGGGGGCTTGATGTCGGGGGACACCAAGGCCCTTCCAAATCAGAAGTACACTAAGTGGCCTTTGGAAAAGTTTACTTCCAAGCAAGGGTCCCTGAGCAGGTGTAAGAAGCCGCCCTCCTTCAGCTCCTATCCAACTATGTAAATGTCCTGGCTACAAAACTTGTTAAATGTCTGTTTCATGTGTAGCTATGTTGCACTTATGAAGGACATGGGGATAGGGAGATCACAAGGGACCAGAAAGAAGGAAAGAAGCCACAGTGACTAGTAGATTCAAGGCTTTCTCAGAAACAGGAGTGGCAGCCTCAAGCCTTATACACCACAGGAGCTAAAACTGAGCTTTCTACATCAAGGTAAGAACAGAGAATGGGTGGTCCATTGGGACAGCCCCTCCCACTCCCCCACCTGAGGAAGCAGCACTGAGCAGCCTTCTGCAGCAACTTCTGCAGGACCCCAGGTCTACTGTGGGAGGGCAGAGTTCCCACCTGCGCCCCACTCTTAAGCAAGGCCTGGATGCTGACACCAGGTGTGGAAACCCCAAACTGAAAAAAATGTTCTAAAATCAGACTGAGATTGGAGCATCCCTTAGAGACTGAGGATAAAGTACCCCACAGGTGAGGTGACCATTCCTCCTGGTTGACTCCTGTCATCCCTGTGCCCTGCCTGGTTCATCATTGCTTAAGGGAATCCAGTTAAGAATTGATTTAAAAGAACCTGGATAGGACTAGTAGCCCTCCACTTGTACTTCCAGCTTCCGCCAAGATTGCATCTCTTGGTATGTGAGTCACATGCACAGTGAGCGAGTTTTTACCTCAACTCAAGGCTGAATTCAGAAGATAAGGGCTGACCAGCCTCTCCTTCCCCACCCTTTCCTGACTCAGTGTTACCATCTCAGGGACAGTGCAGCTCTCCCTGAGATGGTGGAACTCATGCAGACATAGGAACTAATGAGTTAGTTTCCCCTCTAGGGTAGTGCTAAGAGACAAACTCAGTGTTGCTGCTCCTACCAGTTGTGCCAGAGTCTGCAAATGCGTGAAGCCACCAGGCTGCCAGGCTCCGGGGCAGCAGGGAAAGGTGGGAGTGACAGGTGAGCGGTGTATGCATCCTGTGCAGGAGCTAGAGGCCGGAGCCGCCTTGCTGCAGGGACTTTGCCATATACTGTACGGTGTGAGTCTAAAACGGTTTATCTTGGTGTTTGCTGTGGCATTTTCATTTTTCAATAACTCTCAGTAGCAATGAGTTTGACAAAAAAAGGAAAGTACGTAAGTAATAAAAATGTGAGTTATCTTGACTTTCTCTTTTTCAAGAAAATTAATGATGAAACTGTAATATGCACAAAATGGTTACCTGCATTTACCATCCCATCCCCCCTGAGAGCCATAGTGATGTGAATGATTATATAAAAAGCAAGACACAAATCTGCTCAAGAAGCATCAGTGTCTAACTCAAAGGTCATCAGTAACTTTAAGAAGACTATCTAAAATCCTGGCCAAACATTATCCTGGGTGTTTCTGTGAGGATGTTTTGGATGAGATTAATATTTGAATCGGTAGACTAACTAGAGTAGATTGCCCTCTCTAACATGGTGGGCCTTATTCAATCAGTTGAAGGCCTGAATAAAATAAAACACTGACCTCTGTTGAGTAAGAGAAATTCCTCCTTCCCGACAGCCTTTGAAATGGGACATCAGCCCTTCTTGTTTCTACAGCAGCCTGCCAGCATTTAGACTTGAGCTGAAACATCAGCTCTAAAGATTTTGGAATTGCCTCTCTCTCTCTATATATATATATATCTATATACATATCTATATATAATATAGATATTTTTATATATAATATAGATATCTATAGGGGAATATATATATAATCTCTATATATAATCATATAATTTCTATACATAATCATACATACGTATGATCATATAATTATATTTACTTTATATCCTATTGGTTGTGTTTTTCTGGAGAACTCTGTCCAGTCCACTTGTCAAATCTAAGTTTTCTTGTACACATGCTAAGAGTGAAGAGATAGCTGTTCATCTGATAGCATCACCAAGAGAAGGTCACACGGTTAAATGATGTCAGTTTCATATTAGTGTAATCAGATGCATCGATACAGAGAAGATCAGTCAGTTCCAATAACAGTTCACTTTTTTCATCTAATTCAGGCAATCAATGTAAAGCATTTGGAAATTCATTCTGTTCTACTGTGAATATTACTGGAAATTCCCTTTTTATAAGTTCAACATGAAAGATAAAAGTTTT